TCCTTGGCGATTCGGGGTCTTTTCTGATTCCATACAAATTTTAGGATTGTTTGTTACAGCACTTTGAAAAATGTCATTGGAATTTTGATTGGGATGGCGTTGAAGGTATAGATTGCTCTGGGCAGCATAGACATTTTAACAATGTTTATTCTTCCGATCCATGAGCATGGAATATTTTTCCATCTTTTTCTGTCTTCTTCAATTTCTTTCATGAGTCTTCTGCATTTTAAAGTATGTGTAAACATAGAGGATATTAGAAATCTTTGCATACCATTTTCAAGATGGTAATGTAAGGGCCAGAAAAAAATAAACTTCAAGAATCAGCACTTGAAAAGGAACCTAAATGATATTCTTCTATGAAAATAGGTTTAAAAATCTAAGGAAAAGCACAGCAAATAAGTCCAGGAGTACGTTAAAAATCATCAAACTGAGCTTATCTATGGGTTGGATCAACGTAAAGGAATTTATTAGTAAAATGTACCAAATGGTAAGATCTCTAGGATCATATTAAGAGAAGTTGAAAGAGCAGTTGATAAAATTCAACATGAATTCTGGATAAAAAGAATTTTTAGTAAAAGGAGACTTTTTATCTCACGACACATCAAATTTATTTATTTATTTATTTATTTAAAGATTTTATTTACTTATTTGACAGAGACAGAGACAGAGACAACGAGAGCAGGAACACAAGCAGGGGGAGTGGGAGAGGAGAAGCAGGCTTTCCGCCGAGCAGGGAGCCCGATGCGGGGCTCGATCCCAGGACCCTGGGATCATGACCTGAGCCGAAGGCAGACGCTCAATGACTGAGCCACCCAGGCGCCCCATGACACATCAAATTTAAAGTGACCCACCAGATCCTGTGGAAGAGCAGCACTCCCATTAGAATAAGGAAGAAAACAAGGGTCCATGTTATTCCACCATTACGATTCTGATAGTGCTGCTATAATGAGATGAAACAACAGGATCACACAAGAACACACAAGAAGATCCAAAGCTAAGGCAGGTATGTTTCAACTCTCAAAATATATTGGCATTGGTCATTCATGCTGGTGGTATTATGGATATTTTGTATTTTTCTCTTTTGGCTTCTCTGTATTTTCTATACAGAACTTCATTTGCTCTCTTTTCATGTCTTTTTTTTTCCTCTGTGATTTTTCAAATGAGACAACAAACATTGATAAAGTATAGAATAGTGAAAGTGAAATATAGCATAGGGATTGTAGTCAATAAAATTGTAATAACTGTGCAGTGACAGATAGCAACTACACTTATTATGGTGAGCATTTTGTAATGTATATAATGTTGAATCACTCTTTGGTACACCTGAAATTCATATAATATTGTATGTAAATTCTATTCTAGTAAGGATAATTTTTTAAAAATCATATTTATATTAAGCACTACTAGAGTGCCTGGCACATGAAATTGTTTAATAAATGGTTAATTTTATTTTGAAAAAAGAGACATCATAATTCAAAAGGGAGGAGACTTTCTTTGCTTTTCAAAGAATGGCTTAACTATAATTCAGCATTTTACTGTCTTCAATCCTAGTCACATATGTGAGTAAGTAAGAGCAAAAGAGAAACGTTTGATACTTTTAGGAAGTTTAAGGCTAAAGCTGAATCAGATTTGTCTCTAACATGGCTTTGTTCCCTGATGTAAAAAATTAGCTTTGTGGTATCTCCATCTACTGGCTTTTCCTTCCCATGATGACTTTATCTAGTCTAACATTTCTCAAGATAACTTCATCTAGTCTGACTTTGTTTTCAGGGCTAAGTTATGTGAGCTCTCCCTTCTAGGAAATTTCCATTTCACCTAATAGTGAAATTGCTAGAATGACGGGCCTAACTTTTGGCCGCCTCTCCCTCTAATCCAACTTTTCCTGACTGTGCCCTTGCAACCAAGGCGAGGGAGAGGAGAGAAGCTTCCTCAGGTGGAGTCACCAAACAGAAATGGGTCATCTATGATAAAATATCACCTACCCAGGAGAGACAGAGGCAGACACGTTCTCAGACTGTGACTGTTTAGGACTCTCAGAGTGGTGCAGAAGTGTACTTGTTGATCTTTTTCTCATGGTTGCTTTGAAAATCCAAATTTTCTATTTAACATCAGAGTCACCCAATCTACATGGTTTTCGAGCAACGAGGTGGAATCTGGGGACTGAAATCACAAAGAGGCAATGTGGTAGAGAGGAAAGCCCTGACATCAACCTGCCTGGGGGGCTTCTAATGACATCCACAGAATGCCCACTAGGGGAGACGCTCTTCCACTCCTTCTGGTCATCCTCAGAGCATCTCTGAGGCTTTGTTGCAATTTCAGTTTTGACCAGCGATGACCAGTGAAGACCCAGTGCAGGTCAGTGTGGTGCAGAAGGGTTCAAGTGACACCCATTCCACTCCTCCCATTGGCACGGATGCCTTAACCACCAGACCCTCAGTTCCCTGGTGTGTAAGATGGTTATAACAATGGCAACTGTGAGGTGCTGTTTTGAGGACGAGAGAGATAATCCAGCAAACCTAGTTCATGGCAGGAAGCTCTTAATGACTGTTCTCTAGCTGCACTGACCAACGGAGTTGCTAGTCACATGTCTGTACATAAATTAAATTAATAGAAAATTTAGTTTCTCAGCAGCACCAGCCCCATTTCAGGTGGTCAATAGCCACCTACGTCTGGTGGCTACCGTGTTGGATAGTGCAGATAGAGAACATTTCCATCATCACAGAATGTTCCATTGGACAGCGCTGCTCTGTATCATTAACTCTGACTTGACACCACCACCAGAACTTAGGGCTGACCAAAATGATTCCCTCTGAGGTGGAAACTCTCCCCGGATGTTTACGGATGTTTATCTGTGGAGGTGAGAGTCAGGTGAGGCCATTCTTGGAAGGTCGTCTTTTGTTCACCAGGGAAAGAAAGGGGTGATGTTTGTTTTCCCAATTAAGATAGCTTATCTAGGAGTTGGCTATTTTAGCCCTGAAAAGATGGAAAGTTGAGGCTGAGGACACCGTCCAGAGAGGGCTCAGTTCTTTCCAAGGTGCGCTTAGCTGGGTCACAACAGAAGGGGCGGGGGAGGATTCTGACTTGGAGTCAGCAGAGGAAACAGTCTCTGGAGGTACAGTTCAGAAAGGACAACTAATCTGTTTTCCCAACAGATTTTCGTAAATAACTGACAGGAGATGGGCTGCTTCTCTTTAAGTATTAACCCAAATAATGGGGTTTAATCATTAAACCTTCTAGGTGGGGGCTGGCTTGTTTCTCTGATATTCTAATCCGGGTCACAGAATGGCTAAGGCAGCTTTAAGTGGAGGGTGGATTTTTTTCCCCTCCGTTTGCCTTGTGTTTTGCACTCTGAAAGAATGTTGTGCCTGCTCTTTTTTCTGGTGACTGCTATTCATGCTGAACTGTGTCAACCAGGTATGTAGCCTTGAAACTTAAAAATAGGGTAACAGTTTTCTAAATGATTGACAAGTCTTTGACTGACTTCTCTATTTTTCTAAATCTGCAGACATGTTGTGGCTTGAAAGTTGAGACTGTGACTGTTTTAGGAGTTTGAAAGAAAAATTTAAACCATCTAAGGTGCTTGTAGTTAAACTTTGAGTTTTGGGGGCAGTTTAACTGAAGATCTGTGTTCTGTTGATTTGAGTTGATTAAATGTTTGGACTTCATGTTTTGGCAGATTTTTATCATCATATACTGCTCTTTTTTCTTTCTGGCAGATGCAGAAAATGCTTTTAAAGTAAGACTTAGTATCAGAACAGCTCTGGGAGATAAAGCAGTAAGTGGAGAATCTGCATGTTCATTTTTAATTTTGTTTGCTAATACTACTTTCTCTAGTAATGAGCCTCTGCCTCGTTATCTTAAACTCATATAGTTTAAGTCTAAAGACCTCAAATCTGATATTGTCTTAAAGTTAAAAAATAGTAAAATGGAAATTCTTAAAAAATGATTTTGCCTCAAGTCTTTAATCTGCAGTGTGTGCTAGAAAATCTGTGAATGTTTGTATTACACAAAACAATGTAGCAAACTCGAACATTTCAGTCAAGCACAATGGAGCCGCGGGGCCTGAGTCGGGTACTCATGTCTGGCTTGGGCTCTGCACCTCACTGTTGGTGGTCATTCGGATTTTGTCAGCCTTGGTTTTCTTGTCAGCTAAAAGATGGTATGGGTCCACCCACATCAGATTTTTCATAGCACAAGAAGTTTCTAGTTCTAATGTGAAGTTTCTTCAGTTCTTCTCAAATATCAAAGTAACAATGTGAAATATGTGCTTATGAAATTGAAGTTAAAAAATACTCATAAGGCTCGGGGCACCTGGGTGGCTCAGTCGGTTAAGCGGCTGCCTTCGGCTCAGGTCATGATCCCGGGGTCCTGGGATTGAGCCCCACGTCCAGCTCCCTGCTCAGCAGAGAGCCTGCTTCTCCCTCTCCCTCTGCCTGCCACTCTGCCTACTTGTGCTCTCTATCTCTCTGTCAAATAAATAAATAAAATCTTTAAAAAAAAAATACTCATAAGGCTCATGTAGCTATAAGAACAGTACGGCCTGTCGAATTAATGAGGTGATTTGTGTAATTCTAGTTTTAGTATCCCTGTGTGGTCTGTGAAAATTTTCCCCAATAGAAGGCGATATTAAGATGCCTCGGGGTAGAAGCAATAAAAGAGTGCTAAGGAAACTTAAAGGTACGTATTCTGTTTGCAGGCCAATCCACCAACGTATTATTTTATTTATTCAATGAGTAATGATCATTATAACACCCAGCATTTATTGAGAACTTAGTTTACTTTCCAGCGGGGACCCTTCTGAGCACTTTACTCACATCAGTTCGCACAGCCCCGACAACAACCCTTTGAGGAAGGTAGTACTGGCATTCCCATTCTCACTGGGTAAATGAGAAAACCGAGGTACAAAGAAATTAAGCAACCTGCTCAGGATCTCAGGTCAGCAAGTGACAGAGGTGAGATTTGAACCCAACAGTCTGACTGTAGAATCTATTCTCTCTACCAGTGTGTAGTTGCTCATCCCAGGGTCCTCTGAGGGCAGGCACCATGCTGGACCCTGGGGATGCAATGGCAGATAAATCAGGCTTGTCCCTGCTCTTGTGGAGCTTATGATATTGGGAGGATTGGTTGTCCATGAAACATTCAGTAAATGAAATGGAAATGTGCAGTCTTGACAAGTATTACAGGAAGGAGAAGTACATGGGGGCTTTGGCTTTGTTGGGAGCCTTAGTACTTGGCATTTGCTTTGAGGTCTAACATATGAGTGGAGGTGAGCCAGAGGATAAAAGAAAAAGGGGCAGAGGGAACAGAACATGCAAAGGCTTATTACAGGAAGGAACTTGGTGAGAGTATGGGATGGAAGGAAGGCTGAGGTCTCTGCAACTGGAGCAGTGAGGTAGAGCATGGCATGTAATGAGTTTGGGCAGAAAGGAGAGGTCAGGCTGAAGAAGTTTGTGGACCGTGTTAGGAAGTTTTGGGATTATCTTTAAAGCAAGTGAGAGCTTTCTGGAAGAGATGTTATGATAGAATTAATGCTTGGAAAACACTCTGGTCACAGTGTAGAAGGTAGATTGGGAGAGGACAAGAGTAGAAAGGAGAAAGGGGGAAGGAGGAGTCAAGGATGATGCTTTAGTTTCTAATTTTGCAACTGAATGGATGATGACCCACTTATGAGTCAGGGAAGCAGGTACAGACAAGAAAATCATGGCTTTAATTTTGGACTTGTTGAGCCTGAGATATTCTTGGACAGGCAAGGACAGGGTGAGCTTGTGATATGCATTCCTGGGTCATTTACCTTACGGTGATAATGGAAGCCTGGAGTAGATGACAGTCTGAGGGAGAAAGTACAGAATGACAAGAGGGAAAGGTCTAGCATAGAGCTTTGAGATGGTCTAAAACCTGAAGCCCTTATAGAAGAGGGCGAACCTACAAAGGGGACAAAATAGGCAGGAGGAAAACCAGAATGTGTATCACAAAAGGGAAGAGAGTGCTTCAAGTTGAAGGAAGTGATCTGTTAACAGGCCAAGCAAGATGAGACTGAAAGCCACTCATTGTGTTGAGTCATGTGGAGGTCACTGGTAACTTTAGAGAGAGCCATCTATATGGAGTGGTGGGACCAGAAAGCAGATAGTGGAGGGAGTTGAGAATAAGTGGGTGGCAAACAGGTGAAGACACAAGTATGACAACTCCTTTGAGAATGCTGGCTGTGAAGGGCAGGAGAGAGACAGCAGTAGGTAGAGAAGAAGGATTGAGTACAGTGATTTGGTTTTGGTGTCGTTTTAATGGGAAGGCTTGAGCATGGCTAAAAGCCAGAGTCCAGTGTATGGAGGAGAGGGGAAACTGATATCCTTAGATTCTGAGAAGGGCAGAAGGGCAGTGTTCCTAATCCAGGTGGATGCAAGAGCCATTGACAGGAGGAGAAACACCACATCCGGCCTTTCGGGGGAGAATGCGGATAGCATGTATGTCTACAGAGGAAGTTTTTTGTTTGGTGTCAGGAGGATGGGGAAGTTTAAATTGATGACTTGAGGATGTATCTCTAAATTATGAGATAAGAACATCTAGTGAGGGGCACCTGGGTGGCTCAGTAAGTTAAGCGTTTGTCTTTGGCTCAGGTCGTGATCCTGGGGTCCTGGGATGGAGCCCCACGTCGGGCTCCCTGCTCAGCAGGGAGTCTGCTTCTTCCTCTCCCTCTGCCCATCCCCCTGCTCATGCTCCCTCTCTTTCTCTCTCAATAAATAAATAAAATCTTTAAAAAAAAGAGCATCTAGTGAGTATGAGGTGTAAGGGAAAGCTTTGAGTTTGGTGGAGGCGGGGAGCTGAAAGAGGTTTGAAATAGCCATTGTGAACCATGAGAGAGCAAAAACTGATGGAGACCTAAGGGATTCCTGGGCAATTTGGGAGTAGGTCATCATGAACTTAGAGTTAAACCCTGTTATGTGACTTTCTCCAGTTATACTTGATTACTCACCTAAAATATGTGGTCAGCCACATTAGTTTGCTAGGGCTACTGTGACAAAGTACTGTGAACCGGGTGGCTTAAGCAATAGAAATTTATTTTCTCTTAGTTCTGGAGGCTAGCAGTCCACGATCAGGGTATCAACAGGGTTGGTTCCTTCTGAGGTCTGTGAAGGAAAGATCTAGTCTAGGTGTCTCTCTTTGGCTTATAGATGACTATCTTCTCTCTGTATCTTCACATTGTCTTCCCTCTATATGTGGCTGTGTCCAAATTTCCTCTTCTTGCAAGGACACCAGTCCATATGGGATTAGGTCTACCCTAATGACTTCATTTAAGCTTAATCACCTTTGTAAATACACTATCTCCAAATACGGTTTCATTCTAGGACTTCAACATATAAATGGGCGGGGGGGCACAGTTAAATCCATAATATGCACACACACTCAAGTTTCCAGCTAAGAAAATGGAAAGAAAAATTGTACCTATGTTAGTAAAGAAAAGGAAGCTGAGACAGGTAGTCAGTTAATGAGGGAAAAGAGTAAAGGAGGAAGGGAACCAACTGTATATGTTCAGGATACGATGTCCAAATGCCCTATTTGTTGACTGGCTACTGATACTGCAGATTGTGAAGAAGATAATGCAATGGAAAGTATGCCACACTTGGAATGACAGAATGTCCAAGAAAGCCCATCCTGAACATTATCGCGACATGATTTATCTTGGTCTTTGGTATTTAGTGTATGAGAAAGATGAGGGAGAGAGGCAGGCCCTGATTAACACCACCACTGTGGTCACAATTAGATTCCAACGGACCATTTTTTATCCTATGCCTCTTACATTTCCTGTTTTACTTCTCTTTTAGTATGCCTGGGATACAAATGAGGAATATCTTTTCAAAGCAATGGTGGCTTTCTCCATGAGAAAAGTTCCCAACAGAGAAACAACAGAGTAAGTAAATAGTAAAAAATTTTAATTGATTATTTGCAGTGTTATTTGAGGCATGCATTAATTAAAAAATCTATGTTGAAAATAATTAACCAAATTTTTAAAAAGGATCCACATTGTAACATTTAAAAAAACTTTTGTAATCTAGCTCACCTTGCAGTTTGTATCATGTTCCAACAATGATCTTTGTTCAATAGGTACTATGATGATAAAAATTTTTAGATGTAGTCATGTGTCATAAGCTTGTTCTACATTCCTATTGTTTTTTTTTTTCTTTTTTTTCTTTTTTTATTCTTATGTTAATCCCCATACATTACATCACCTGTTCCAGATGAAGTATTCCATGATTCATTGTTCGTGCACAACACCCAGTGCTCCATG